AGAGAGAAGAGGACAACAAACGAGGGGCTGTGACAAACTGTTTCGTCGGAGTTTCACCGACTCATCAGGAGGCTGAACCCTCAACAGTCTGCAGAATATATATATATACATTTATATCGTCATAAAGAACTGTCTGGTGAACCGTAGGCAGAGAGGGAGAAGAGGACAACGCAATGCATCAAATGAATCATCTCTAACGACAAAACACCACTGTGAACCTGCAAAATCACTACTACTACTACTACCACCCACCTCGTGTGTGGTTGAATGGCACACGTAAGGACCTGCTGATAAACAGATCACAAGTTTGGATCCCCATGAAATCAGATGAATACAAGAATGCTAGGGCCTAGTCCTGACATTTTTATTCTCATTATTTATTAAAATCATAGCAACCTCGGTCAAGAAGGCCAGAGAGTTAAAACAAAGAGAAAGAACAGATCGGAAAGCTTAAACAGAAATGTGGCATCAACCAACTGCACGTAGTGTGGCTGTAACGGACACACAAGTAAGTTAAATAAACAGATCACTAGATCGAATCCTGATGAAATAAGCTGAATACTAGAATGTTAGGGTCTAGGCCCAACATTATTATGATGATTTGTATTATAACTTAAATCACAGCCACCACTGTTAAGAAAATCAGAGCTTAATAGAAATGAGGCGTCAAATGCACGCAGTGGTTAGAATGTAATACACAGTAGCTTGACATTTCTTTTCATACGTTAGAACCAAGCTACGAAGGTCTGCAGACTGCACAGCGCATGTGGCTGAATTGTGAACCCCTCTAATTATTGGTAGACAGATCGGGAGTTCAATCATTTTTTCCTCTTTATTTTCAAAATGTTGGTCTGCAGACTCTGAGCATGTGCAGAGAGTCATCAGAACTAATAGCCCTTTACACTCGGAAGACCGGAGAGGAACAGAACAGAAGGCAAACAGGCGACGGAAACCTTAGTTTCCCACATTTATTTGATTATCATTTGATTATCATTTGATTATCATTTGATTATGATCGGATTCACCCACCTAGTGGATATAAGATGACAGAGAGTTGACGTTGTCCTTCACATTCTCCCCAAATGACCTATAACACGGAGCTAGGTTGGTCGGCAGACTCGCAGCTCACTTGGACACTTGTCAGAGCCTTCATGTTTAAGCTCCCCATCATCATTCTCGTTTAAACCACCAGTACTTCCTAACGTCGTCCCCGTATACAAGCCACGATTTACGAAACATACTTCCTAACGTCGGCCCCGTATACAAGCCACGATTTCCTAACGTCACCCGACTAGAAATCTTTCTACCATTTTCTTTTCCGCGGTTGATAGCCGGGCCGAGGACTGGTGGTTTAAGTGGGAGACGGAACTTGCACGACGCGTGCGACTGGCAGATAGACAGGGCAGGACGAACCCACGGCAACCACCACCGACTTCCTTCCCTGATGATCGCCCGTACCCACAAATTCATTATTTTAATATTTTGCCCACACCCAAAACAAGAAAAGGAGCACAGCTTGGAGAGGGGAAATATAGGACGGTTGACGGAGGATGCAGGCGTCTTCACATCAGGACTCTGGAGTTCACTGCATATGCCCACTGGCTGAGCCTTCAACACAACCGAGACTTAACTGCGAAAGACAGACTATAAACATGTACGTGCATAAGAAAACGAATGAAAAATACATGTATAAAACTACTCTAAATAGTAAATACACAAAAATACTACATATGCCATATGGTACATATATGCACATGTAAGCGGCAGCATCTTGCATGATGAACAATTTTCTCTTAGGACGCGGAACATAACTCTACGTTGCCATTGCTCAGCTATATGCCAAGGGCGCACTTCAAGACTGTGTCTCTCATGAGGGCAACTCGCGTAAACAGCAGCAGTTGATGTCAGACCGCTTGCACGTGAGGATTCAATGAGCAGAGGCCGGCGTAGCTATCAGGCACAAGCAAATGTACTCGGCAAATGTGCAGCTCAACGAGAGCAAAGTAAATGTCAGGCCAAACGTCTTCCACACTGCCTCTGCTCAACCATGTACCAAGGGTGCACTTCAAGACTGCATGTGCCATGAGTGCAACTCACGTATAGCAGCAGTTGATATCAGTGCGGCGCGGTGTTATGCGGTTATCACACACACATACATGGTAGACTGCAGCATTTGCGAAATGCCGGCATACAACTACCATGCAAGAGAGAATGCTAGAGACGCACCTGCTGAACATATCAAACTTTGAAGTACTTGGTAACTATCTACACACAAATGCTCAGCAAGGGCATTTAGGCTCAGCATTGGAACTCCATTCTTTACTTGCATCTGCAAATACGACCAAGACCTTTCGCGTGTCAATCCAAAACTCCCGGCATGCATGCGCTCTTTGTAAACCAAATCACGACATGCATGCGCTCTGTTTGAACTAAATCACGATAGCTAAAAAGGCGCACAGCGACAACCCTGCTTGAAGAAAGCTAAGGTTGTCAGGCAGGCCAAGAACTACGCAGGCATGTTCTGTCGACATTAATCTTGCACACATAAGCACATGAAAAGTCTCAATGATGCACTGACGGCTCACAACTCACCTCCGAGAACACTACAACTCTCGAGAAAAGTGCTGCGGCTGAAATTGCTAAATACCCCAATCTGAAGTCAAGAAGGGCTTGCTACTCTCTGCTTTTTTTCAGTCACTTCCGAAGCCACCAGATGTCTCCAAAGCAGTTCATGGAGCACATGCAGGCAAAGGCGAATCACATCATATCGTTATACACAACTGAAGAAGCCCCGGCCGACCACGACCACCCCCTTTCCACCTGGCTTCCTCTCTGAGTCTCAGTCTCTCCGTCTCTCTGCATCC